AACACCTGGATCATCTGTGGGATTTCTCCTATTGGATATATACTTTTTCTTAATCATCAGGCATTTTCCTGCCTCTTTGAGTGTCTTGTGACTTTTAAAATTTGTATTCTGATTTGTGCAAAAGAGACTGAAGTCAATGTTATTTCTCTCCAGCTAGGATGCATACTTCTTTTTATATGGCAAATAGGGTGAGGAACAGATCATCTCATTCTATGAGAAACTGAGCTATGCTGTGGCTTTAGTTAGACTCAGTCCACCTCTGGTTTCAAATGTCTCAAGAGTAAGATCTTTTGTAAGCTTATTAAAGGTCCCTTCCTCTTGTGGGCTTTGTCTCCTAAGCATAGGATGAAATTCTGGGTTATTTCATTTTTGCCTTTGCAGGCCAGCTCCTACCCTCCTGAGCTGCTTGGTGCTCATCGAGTGTTTCAGAGAGGAGGCCAGCCAATCTGCCGTGACAGCTCAAGTGGGTATCAAAAGCTTCATTGGCTGTGCATCTTCCTAGAAGAGTCTCTCTGCCTAAGGAAAGCCTGATTCCAGATTCAGCAAATAACTTACTTACTTACTTACTTACTTACTTATTTATTTAGGTATCATTGACGAACAATTACATGAGCAACATTATGGCTACTAGACTCCCCCCACTCAGCAAATAACTTTTAAGAGAGAAAATGGACAATAATCCTAATTTACCTTGGAAGGAATCTTTTCTCTCTTAAATTTTAGTTCCTTTAGTCTTCTTGGCTTCTCCAGTATCTTCCAAAATATTTTCATAATTCATTTTTTTTCTTGATGTAGAGGAAATAATGGTCACTTCCTACCTCATTTAACTCAGAAGTAGTTTTCTCATGTTCTTTTCCACTTGGTTCAATCAGGATTCAAACAAGGCCCATGCATTCCATTCTTAAGTCTCTTAATTTATAGGTTTCCCATCCCTCTTTGTATTTTTGTTGTTGTGGTGTTTGTTTTTCAACTTGTTTAAGCAACTGGCTCATTTGCTCTGTTGAGTTTTCTGAATTCTGCTGGTTGTTTCAATTTAGTATCATTTAACATGTTCCTTCCTCTGCCCCCTGTATTTCCTACAATCTGGTAGTTAGATCTAGAGGATTGATACTATTCCATTTTTTTGGCAAGATTACTTTATAGGTGGTACTGTGTACTTCCTCTTTTATCACATAATTCCTACTTTTTACTGTCTAGCTCAAAAGGAATTTCTTCTCAGTTTTCCCTGATCCACATTCTTTCTAACTCTCCTGTCTTCTGTATTTCCACAGCATTTTACCTCTCATTATTACCTTTTCATTTAGGAGTCCATTATACTCCCTTCCTGCAATGCCAGTTTGTAGTTTGGGATCTCCTTGAGGGCAGAATTCATATTTTACTTATTCTTTTATCCTCATGACTATAGTGTGGTGGATTAAAATGGCCACAATTATTTTCCCTTCAAAAAATGGAGTGTATTTATTTCCCTTCATATTGGATGAAGGGTAATCTAGTCACTTGTTTTGATCAATAGTACATGGTTGGTGATGCTCTGCCTTCAGCTGCCATGCAAAGTCAAGGTACTGTCCTGCAGAGGACATGTGGGTAGGGAAAGAGGTGCCTAGTCGGCTTCCAGCTGTTCCAACCTCCCAGCTGAGGTGTCGGACATTTGAGCAAAGCCATCTTCAGTTTCCAGCCCTAGTTGAATCTCTTGATGACTGCAGCCTTATGAATGAGCCCAGCTAAACCCAGCCCAGATTGCAAAATAATGAGAAAATACATGATCGCTGTTTAAGCCACTAAGATTTGGGGTGGGTTGTTATGCAACAATAGATTACTGAAACACAGAGTATTTGAGATATGGTGAGTCTTCCGAAAAGTGTTTGTCAAATTCAATTTAATTGTAAGAGACTGGATGGGTAATTAAACTAGATAGCTCTCATGGCCCTATCCAGCAGAGATTTTATGATCCCAAAATAATTAACAACCTTGGATTATGCCATTACTTCCTCTACTTCTACTGATAAAAAGAGTTGAATCTAGGTGCAATATAATTAAGTTCTTAGGTGTCCATTTGGGCTGCTATAACAATATATCATAGACTGGGTGGCTTATAAACATCAAAAATTTATTTCTCATAGTTCTGGAGACTGGGAAATCTAAGATCAAAGTGCTGGCAGATTTGGTGTCTGGTGAGAACCCACTTCCTGGTTGTCTTCTTGTATCCTTCCATGGGGGAAGGGAGGAGGGGTCCCTCCGAGGCTCTTTTATAGGGCACTAATCCCATTAATAATTATAAGGGTGACCAATCACATTCTGAACGCCCCGCTTCCTAATACCATCACTTTGGGGGGTTAGGATTTGAACACATGAATTTTGGGGACACAAACATTCAGACCATAGCATTCCATTCCTGCCCCCCACCAATTCATATCCTCAAATGTCATCAACTCAAAAGTCTAAGTTCAAAGTCTCATCTAAATATCATGTAAATCATATATGGTTGAGACTCAAGGTATGATTCACTAAGCTTTGTAATACCCAACTTGCAGAAGGATGCCTAGGGTCACCTATTTTGATTAATTTCTTTTCTAGACCTACCTTTCTGCAGTTCTACTGATTCCTAGTTCTTCACATATAAAAATCATACCCCTACCCTAAAGCCCATATACTGTAGCACATAAGCTGCTTTGAGGGTTTTTTTCAGTAGTGGAGAAAAAATTGTGCTAAGACATTTATACTTTCAAATTCAGTTTGTACTCATTTTTCAATCTTCAGAATTTTTCTCCAGTTTCTCATTAGAGAGATAAAAGCTGCAATGATATGACCATACAAAGAAAAGTGAGCTAACTAACCTAAACTATAGCATTTTGTAAAGTTTGAAATGTCTTAGACTTTCAGGTGATCTGCATTTTGGAAGAAGATTCAGCCTTTGAATAGTTACTCACTTTACCATTTCTTTAACACTGTACTATTTACAATCAACCATTTTTCTTTATCTTATTACTTTGGAAGGGACTAGATGCTATGGGCTTATAGTAGAATATTCCTTAAAGGTGTACTGTAGTGCAAGCATCTGGATGGTCTTTGAGGTCATGCATCAACGTCCAGATTTAGCTATGTGTAGTTGTAGCAGAAGGACCAAACTCTAAACTCTACCACTTGCTGCCCAAGTATCAGAAACCACTGATTTTGTGTTTAAAGACCTTCCTTTGATAGAAATGTGGGAATAGAAGGGTCCTGGAGTGAGAGGGTGGTAGCCTACAGAAACCAGGCTTTCCATGCACTTCCTAGTGTCCTGTTTTAAATGTCAAATGTTTTCTTGATTTTGACATATTTCTGTGCCAATCCCTGTCACCTTGCCAATTCATTCCTGATTTGACCCACTTTCTGATTGAGTCCTTGTGCCATGGCAGTTAACCTTAGGCTCCATCTGCCTATGTCTCTGGTGCCCATCTTCTGGACTCATCCACGGTCACCACTCTGTCGCCCATTTGGCTCTGCCCTCCTAGCAGTCATTGGAGTTTGCTTTAAGCCTAACTCCAACTCACCCTTCTGGTGCCAAGTCATATGTCACCATGACAGGAAATAGTTCGTTGACATCCATGATGGGTTCAGGGCCTCCTGGTGTATTCCCTCACAGTTTCCTGTATTTTACCTTTGAGATACTTATCACAATTTATGATTATTTTTCTCATCTATTCTGCTCATCTTGTACCTTCAGCACCTGAGACAATGCCTGGCACATAGTAGGAGTTCAATGAATGTTGAGTAAACATTAACAAATGAAGCTGTGACTTGGGCCCTCACCTCTTTTAGGGTACCATTGTGTATAACCTTGAGCTAGTTACTTATCTGAGGCTCAGTTTCTGCATGTGTAAAGTAGGGATGACATTTTTTCATCTACCCCACAGTTTGGGGTGCTATGTATGCAGCAGATGCTTACTAAATGTTTGTAGAAATAGTAAATGCACGTGCTACTTCTGTGGTGAGACACCTGTATTTTAACTAGTATTTCTTTCATCTGACAAATGAGAGAAATTGAGCACCCAAGCAAGAGGTGTCTTGCTTATTGAGTGGGAATTTAAATTCAGGCTTCCATATACCCTTGCCCAGGGGTCTATACTTCTCTTCTGGTTGTAGCTTAATACTAGATATTTTTTTAATGGGGGAGGGGACATTTTTAAAAATGGATTTAGTAATGATTGACTTTTCCAACTCTTGAGAGTTTTGTGTGTTACATATTTTAACTTAATTTGGTCTACCAAGAATATATATTCTAGATTGCTTGTATCTTAACCTGTAAGAAAGAATCAGTAGTGAATGTGACTAAGACAAGGGAGAGTTCTGTAGAGGTAACATTCTCATCAGTGAGTACAGCTGATTGTTCTTCTGAAACAGTGGTAGGATCAGATCCTGAGCTTTGTGTGATAGCAAAAGTGCCTTCAGCCTAACAACTCCTTGTGCTGTCTAGATTAACCTGACCACTTCCCCCCGTTCCTCCATCAGTGCAGTGAAGGTCCCTTGCGTACAGAATAAGATGCTGCCCAGTTTTTGCTCGTTTATTCTCCACCACATCCACACACATCTGGAATTCCACCCACTCAACATTTTTCTGGCACACAGAACACAGAGAAGGGAGAAGATGCAGGAAGGGTCCAAATGTAACTAGACTTTATATATTTTATTTGAGCCTCATCTAACAGAGATGGGGAGAGTAAGTTAGAGGTGGTCTGATAAAAACCCCAGAGTTTGTGAGGTATGCAAAGGAAGAAATCCTTTGCTAGAACATCTGCTGAAGGTGAAATGAGGTGAGCCTGGAGAGGGAATTCAGAAACAACTTTTGGTGTTTAGTATTGTGATCTGGGAGCGAGATCCCACTGCTGAGCCAGGAAGAAGGCCAGCAGGTGGAGGAGGTCCACAGCAAGTACTGCTGGTTCGTAACTCACCGAAGGTCTCCGACTAAGTGACCCCATTTGGGTGGGGGGGACTTGCCAGGGGAATCTGACCCATTATGCAATCTAGGGATCCTTAAGTTCATGGCTCTTGGATGAATATAAATTCATAGGTTGATGCCTCCCTTCCACTGACTGTGTCCTGTGTTGAGTCTCAGTTGGGGAGTTGGGAGGCATAGACTGATACACAGGACAATATTGCTGCAGACGATAAGACTGACTCTTTGGCCTGGATGTGGCCTTGGGCTTGGGCCCTGTCTCGACCTCTGCTTCAGGCTCCAGCTCAGATTCAGGTTCTATCTTGTGGTCTAAGTCTAGGTCCAGATCCAGCCCAGTCTCTTGTTCTGATTCCAGCATGGACTCCAAATCCATATCTAGCTCTGACTCCTCTTCCGTTACTGTTACTGGCCTCTGCATTGTGGAGAAGCCTGGACTTGCATTTTTTGGGATTCCTAGAAGACTGATGCCTATGTTATGTCTTGACTCTTCATTCTGAAACACACACAATTAGATGGATTAAACTTTCCAATTAAACATAACTTTCTAACAGTCAAGGAATTTCAGAATATAGCAGAACTTAAGGTACCAGAAATTATGGGTTCCTGACCAAGTAGAGAATATTTTCAGCCTAAATCTGCTTTTCATTTTTATTTCACTCTCTAGTACCTGTTACTCACTATTCTTCAGGCTCAATCAACCCATAACTTCTGATTTCTCTGGCTTTTCTAGCTAGCCTGGATTTCATGGTCAACCATTTAAACAGCAATGGCCTTGGAAGCATTCTGAAACATCATGTCTTCTTGATTTTACTTGTCTTTTCAAGCCCCAGTTTAATCCTTGGCAGGGCATGTAAGGCCCTTCATGACCTGGCCTGTTGCCATCTTTAGCTTTATCTCCATCTGTAGTCACTACCCTTTTCTGTAGCCATAACATTAACCAAAGATGCCTCACAACTGTTTACCTTTGCTCATGCTGTTCCCTGTGCCTACCCTGTCCTTCTCCATCTTGTCCACATTACACTTATTCATCATTCCAGATTCAGATCAGAGATGACCAACCAGGATCAGAGTTCCCTTTGTGTTCCAACTGTACCTTACTCATGCTTCTATCATAGTGCCAGTATCGTATTGCCTGATTTATTTACAAATCTCTCTCTTCTCTTAGATTCTAAGCTCCTGGAGGTAGGGCAGTGCCTGGTTCTTGATGTCCTCAGCACCAGGTACTGAGCCTGTCACATAGCAGGTGGCTTGTAGGCTTGGGGAATCAACCTTGCAGCAGCATTCCATAAAATAAATAGCTTTCACCTTTCCTGAAACATTTTCTTCTCCTCCACCATATGAGCTCTCTTGTTCTTCCTCCTTCCTTCTTGGCTGCTTCTTCTTGGTGCCTTTGTTTTCTCCTCTACTTCTCCTGGGCTTCTAAATTTTATCATGCCCCAGGGCTTGTTCTGGGGCCCTTCTCTCTTCCATCTATGCTTTCCTCAGAGACGATTTTATTTAGTCTCATAATTTTCATTATCATCGATGTGCCAATGACCTTTTGGTCATAACCCTTCCCTTGGTCTTCTGGTTCATATATCCACTTCCATTCTTGACATCTCCACTTGGATGTTAATAGGCATCTTGAATTTAACATGAGAAATAGAACTTGATCCTCTCCTAGTCTTCCCTAACTTAAATGCTAGAAAAAAATAGACATATTCAATACCAAGTCTTAATATTAATCCTGGTAAGAATATTAGTAAACTAGAAAAGTACTTTTTAAAAACATGGTAAGTACAATGTCTATCTTAAGTCAACTGTCACCACTAGCCTTAATAGACATAAGATGCTTTCCTCATTAAATTCAGGAGTAAGGCAAGACTCAGCACTATTTGTTGAATTGTTCTGGGTGGATTACCTAATGCCATAAAATATGATACTGAAAGAAGGGATCTAACAATTGGAAAATAAGATATTTATATTATTGTAGAAAACATTTTTCTATCTAGGAAACTCAAGAGAATTAACAATGAAACCTTTTAGGACTAGTAAAATATTGCACAAGGGTGGCCAAATAATTTAAAAAATCAATAGGTTTCTTATATGGTAGCAATTGCAGTTAGAAAATATAGTGGAAAAGATTATTCATTTAAAAAAGGAATAAAAATGTGAAACATAAAGTATAAACTATCTAACATTTGTTTATGTGAAGAAAGTCACAATACCTTACTATGAATGCAGCATTTAAAAAGACTGAATAAATGTAGAGACATATGTTCCTGCATGGGAAGACTAAACACTGTAAAGATACCAGTTTTCAAATTATTTTTTATTTTTGATGCAATTCTAATGAAAATTCCAATGTTTTTTTTGTGTGTGTGTGGAGGGGGGAACCTGACAAAAGATTCAGAAGTTTGTTTGGAAGAATAAATTGGTGAGAATGACTTAGCAAATTTTTTAATAGAGCACCGATGACACAGAACTTCTTAACCAAATGTTTAAATGTATTATAAAGCAGCAGTACTAAAAGGGTGTGATACTGAGGCTATGCAGAACAATGAAACCAAAAACTAAGCTAGAAATAGACTTTAGTTTTCACAAGAAAATTATATTTTATGAAAACAGCATCTCAAATCAGTGGAGGAAAGAAGGCTTATTCAATAAATGGGATAGCTCAAAATGACAAGTTTATAGATAAAAAGTAAATATTACCCTTCAACATCATACACTGAAATATATCCTAACTAGATTAAAGGTACGGTATATAAAAACTTAAAACATAAAAATCTAGAAGAAGATATAAATTATTATTAACTTTCCAAGTGAAAATGACATGCTGAACTAAAAGCAATTGACAATTACAAAGGGAAAGATTAATATAAGAAAGACTTTATCATATGTAAAAGCAAATATGTCAAGTGTACCCTAATTATAAATAAAATAGATAAACTTCCACTTATAATAAAGGCAGACCAACACCACTCCCCACTACTACCCCTCAACCCCTCCCCCACACCACCACTAAGAACAACTAGAAGAGCTAGGTAAAATATTTTAGAACTTCTGCTTGAAGTCACCATAAAGCTAACAAGATCATGAAAAGCTACCAGGCAAAGATTTAGGAAAAGGTAGAAATCTAGAGAGGTGAATCTGGTATTTGGAGACACTTTTATGAGGGTATTTAATGATCTGGAAGTGGCACGTATATCTTAAGCAGTGCTTTTGACGGCTTTAAGGGCTTACGGTTCCCACAGACTGCCACTGGGCTTTGGGACATCTCATGGCCTAGAATACCTCAAGTCCTGAAATCAAACCCAACTGGCTTTGAATTGCTCGTGCCTTCAAGTACCTGGCAAAACCATCAAATTCTGTCTAGAAGAAAAATGTAATCCTGGGCCTCAAATTATTTCTATAAACATTTTCCAAATATAATGTCTGGCACACACCCAAAGATTACTAGGCACATTAGACTTTGATAATGAAGGATGCATACGAAATTTCTTAAGGCAGTACTTCTCAAAGTGTGGCTTATGTTCCATTAACATCAACATTTCCTAGTGACTTTTTAGCAATGGAAATTCTCAGGCCCCACCCCAAACTCACTGATTCAGAAATTCAGAGTCTTAGGGCATAGAGGGACCTAGCAGTCTGTGTTATGACAGAATATTTTGGCAACTGTGGTGTATTCTAAAGTTGAAGAACCACTGGAAGTCCCTAACATAAGCAGGAGGACCTCTGGCCAGAGATGTTGTCCAGAGAATTCTTGCTCCAGATAGGGGTGGACCTGATACTGAGGTTTCTTCCAATTGAAAGGCTTTGTGATTCTATGATTTTCTAAATGGGAGTGAACTATAGATCAGAATAGAAAAAAAAATATGGTCAAATCTAGCTATCAGGGAAAAAAGTTGTGCTGGATAAGCAGAGGCACATAACCTCTGAAAATTCTCAACAAAGCAAGAGAAATACTTGAAAAAACATTCCTTAAAAAAATAAAATGAGGAAAAAGGTCACATTTTAAAAGCCTGGTTGTCTTCTTAAAGTTTAAAAAAGACACTTACTACTCTGGTAATACTTCTCTTGTCATAAAACATTCAAACGCTGAAATCTGTAAGTCAAAGAATCAGGGGTTTAATTAAAAAATAATTTCTAGTCTTTAGATAATATTTTTGTTCCCATCTGTTCTTTAATTTCCCTGTTTTTGGGAAACCTAAGAGGCTAATTTGAAGACAGTGAAGCAGGCCCAGCTTTTTACATAGTATTTATAAATGGCTAAAAATTTCTGGCTTATAAATCATTCTTTGCAGTTGGTCAGGTTGAGTATATCACATATTACTCACAATGTAAATAATAACCTAAGTGAGACTGGCAGATCTTTACCTCTGCTACTTCATCAGCTTTATCATTCATTCCCAGGGTGGGGCAGGGGGTAGATTCTAAAGGTATAGCTAGGGGAGATACTTAAAACATTTAGTGATTGGAATAGTACTGGCAATAACCAAGCTTGCTGTAAAAGTATCCTAGAGGCCTCTGCTGGGTCATGTAACACTCTCTTCAGTTGGGAGAGGGTCCTGAATGGCATGCAAATGCCATGGCAGTGGGGCAACTTGGACTCAGGTCTGCTGCTATGTACCAACTGGCAAGGGAGCATTTCAACATCTCAGAGTTTGGCACAACCATATTCAAAAGCCTTCCCTGGATGTTGCTCATCTCCATCTGGTCAGGCATCTCCCCACACCTCATTCCCAACTCACTCCCCACCCTCATGGTTCACGTCATCTGACCTTGTCTGTTTCTGAGTAGGTTTCCTGTATCACTGTCTCCGATTCATCCACGCTTAACTCAGAGGACTCTGGAAACTTCCTTGACAAGGCAAACAGCACAGCGTCATGGAGCGTGAGGAACAGCTGGGCCTTGGTGATGCCAGCGTCAAAGAAGTCATTCCTCTCAAAGTCCCTGACCACAGAAGCTACAAACCAAACCCCAAACACACACAGGGTCAGACACTCGGAGAGGAGAGCACCCAGGGTGCCAAACACAGCCCTCTCATAGGGGGAAAGCTACTCACAGTGACATCCTGAAATGAGCACCAAAATGTTGGCGTTTTGGAAAGCATTGCACATCTGCAGGGAGAGAGTAAGCCAGTGTTAGAGATTTTCACACTGACTGGAGAAGGATCTTCTAATTAGCTGAGTTGTAAATCCCTTTGGTCACTCACTTGTCTGTGGTATGTGTAACTTTGCATTCCAGTTCAGCTCTATAAACACTTGATGAGCGGATTTTTATATGCCTGGAAATGTCTGAAGTTCTTGGAATACAGGAGACTAAGACAGTTTCATGTGGGTGAGGAGTGAGAGGGAAAGTTGCCCACAGTCTCAAGAGGGGAAACAGTCCACAACAAGAGATGATGTTCATGTGAGGACAGTGCTAGGACAGAGACAGGCAGAGGCATGAGGGGCACACAGTGGACAGTCCCATGGACAACCGTATCTTGGTGTCATTGCCTAGTATTTGCATGTGACCCCCTTCTCCCTGCAGTTCACTGAGCAGAGGAGGCAACACATGGCACAGAGATGGTCAAGCAGTAGAGTAGGGAGTGGAATTCGGGACTCTGCAGGTCATATTCAGAGCTGCTCTGTGAAGTTGCATTTGACTTTAGTAAAACATCATATACTTAGTAGTATCAGATTAATAAACCTCAGATACTGGCCTCAAGGTTACCTCAGCCAGTACATATGCTCTGGGGCAATAAATCTTAAAAGTTTAATTCAAAGTAAGTCAATATTTACCTTAATAGTCTATGATTGGATAGACTCTAGCCTGAGCACTAGATAAAATGTCAAAAGAAACAAAACACAGACTCTACTTCTTTCACTACTGAGAGGAAACATGAAACTTATTCTTCATCATCTGATAAATCATAAAGTCATTTGTTAAAGAGCCACTATGGAGATCCTTTAAATGACAAGCAGTGGAAGAGGGAATCCTATTATTAGGAAGGAGCTTAAATCAAATAGTTGTCAAAGAACTACTGCGGGGATTTTTCTTAAGTAAGTTTAAGCTTTCAGTTAGAAAGTAAACAAAACAATGATTTTCTCTAATAAGGTGGTATAGAGAAATTACAGAAACAATGAAGAAACCTGTATTTTTAAACTATTAAAAGTACATCATGAATCTCTGACGGCTGTAAAGCAAAGGTATCTGACGTTGTCTTCATGTTGTGGCTGGAGCAGAAAGTCGCCCACAGAGGCCAGGTGTGGATGGGTTATCCCAGGACCAGCACATACAGTGCCTGCCCAAGAAAGGAAGGCAAGAGGGGAGAGAGGAGAGGACAGCATGGCACCACTGTGCTACAGAACGTGGTGGGAGTGATACAGAGTCAGACCCTGAGTTCCAGTGCTGAACAGGCCGCTGACTAGCTGTGAGCCTGGGACTCTGAGGGGGAAATGTGGCTCCTCTCTCAGGACTGTTGTGAGAATTAAATGAGGTAGTGTGTATAAATGTGCCCAACTCTGTCTGGCATGTAGTAGGCATTCAGTAATGTAGGCTGAATGAAATCTGAAATAACAACTACTGTGCAAGCCTGGGAGAAGAGAGCATAGCCCAGCAGCACAACCTAAGATGGAAAAGCCCCAAAGCCAGTCTTAGACTTGAGTCCAAAAATGGGATGGAAAAAAAATCTTGTGTTGGGAAAACCCTTAATAGTAATCTCTTCCAAGCCTTGCATTTCATAGATGAGGAAACCAATACCCTGTGCAATTCAGTAAGTTACCTCAGGTCAGATGGACAGTGAGCGGTAACACTGGGTCAGCGCATGCACACAGACCACCAACCAGAGTTCTTCATGCTGTAAGAGGCTTCCTATTGCCTCAGACGGAAGAGGAGCTGGACTCAGGAGAGAAGCATTTTCCTTCAGGACTATGAAGGTTTGATGAAATAGGATCTGAGTACGAAAGAAATCAGCCAGACGAGCCAAAAAAGAGCTGGAAAGTGAGTGTTTAGAATGTTTAAACTGCAGCCATTGCCAACAGTAGCAAAGAATGAGATAGACGGCTGTCAGCTGGGATAAGCTGTCTGAAAGACACTGTACTTACGAGACACTGAACAGTAAAAGCAATGTGGTCCGTTGTGCATCTAAACTGTCCCTATTCTATAAGGAAAAAGATGAAAAATGTCAGAGAAACCAGAGAGTGGGAGAGAAGCCTGGACTCAGGGACAAAATTTTTGATGGAAAAAGTCTTCCCTGCCCATTTCACCCACAGATGCAGGCAACGAAGAGGGAACTGGGGAAGGTCCTATAGGTTCTGGACCAGGCAGTCCCAGGCTTTGGGTATCATTATATCACAGCTTCTTTAAGTCTGAGTGCTTTTTACAATGTCTAGCTCAGAGCAGTTCCTTTAATAGTGAAGAATTCTTGATGAGTTTTTCTGTAGCATTTGGGCACATTCCTTGGAGATTTGCAGCTAACTCCCAGGATGCACTGGGAGTTGCTGGATGTGACACAGATTGCTGTTTCAGTGGTGCTAAAAGTTTCCTATTTTTCATTCCTTGAGAAATAATACATCATGCTTAAAGAACCAACCAGTTCAGTAAATCAAGGGTGAGTTCATTTTCATTTTAACCTTTAACTGTCTTCAGTGTCTGCATTTCTAGTGGCCTGGGAGTCACATAGCAGCTGATCAATGACTAACAGGATTCAGTCAGGATCAGGGTCATTTTAACCTTTAACTGTCTTCAGTGTCTGCATTTCTAGTGGCCTGGGAGTCACATAGCAGCTGATCAATGACTAACAGGATTCAGTCAGGATCAGGGTAGGATGGTGGCAGCAGGAGGGGATCAGAGCCCTTGTTAAAGCCTCCTCTGTACTTACCTGCCTTAATGTGACTGAAGCCTGTGAATCCACAAAATGCACCATGGAGAAATCCAGGATGATGGTGTGGGCGCCGGTTGGAAGCGATACCTCTGAGTGAGGGACGGGCAAACTACTCTCCCCTTGATTTTCAGAAGCTTTGGGCAGTGCCATCAAGTCTTTTCTGGAGGGATTCTTAGGCAGCTGAGTTTTCTTCACCTCCTCACAGTTTTGCCCACAATTCCTCTGAGATGTGGAAGATATTATGTAGCGTTCTTGGTCATCTGACGTAGCTTGGCTCATGTTCACGCTCTCGAACCATGAGCAGTGGATCAGGTTAATGGGGGATGTATCGTGGTCCTGTTTGCTTTCAAATCTCTCTGTGTAAACAATCTGGGTAAATGGAATTAGGGGAGGATAGTATACAATCCAAACAAGGACTGGGAGTACCTGCAACTGTACTGTTCCCATCTATCACTCAACTCCCTCTCTCTTAGGAAACTTCTCTGCAGACTAGGTACTGTACACTTTTGGCTTGGATATCTCACTTTACTTCAAGCTTGTGACTCAAACCCCATTTATCTCTCCTTATCCTTACCACTCATAGCATCCCCTCCCAACTTCCTTCTGTGCATCAGTGACATTATTATTGTTGTAGTGAGCCAGATTTTAAATGATCTTTGATTTATTCCTTTCCCTTACTCCTGGGTTCTGGATTGTAATTAGTTTCCAATGGCCAATAATACTTTGAAGTATTTCTTCCATTAGTCCCTTTTCTCAACACCTCCTTCTTTTTGTTTCAAATTCAGGTACATACAATAAAGTGCATAAAACTTGGTATACACAATGAGGTATCACCTCACACCAATCAGAATGGCCGCTATCAAGAAGACAAGAATTAACATGTGTTGGTAAGGATGTGGAGAAAAGGGAACCCTCCTATACTGTTGGTGGGAATGTAAATTGGTCCAGTCACTGGGGAAAACAATACGGAGTGTCCTCAAAAAACTAAAAATAGAAATACCATATATATGACCCAGCAATTCCACTTCCGGGAATTTAAGCAAAGAAAACAAAATCATTAATTAGAAAAGATACATGTACACTTATGTTCATTGCAGCATTATTTATAATAGCAAAGACATGGAAGCAACCCAAGTGCCTGTCAATAGATGAATGGATAAAGAAGATGTGGTTACATGTACATAATGGAATATTACTCGGCCATAAAAAAGAAAGAAATCTTGCCATTTGTGACAACAAGGATGTCACAACAAGGATGGACCTAGAGGGTATCATGTCAGGCAGAGGAAGACAAATGCCCTATGATTTCACTTATTTGTGGAATCTGAAAAGCAAAACAAACAAAAAAGAAGTAGACCCACAAATATAGACAACAGACTGTTGGTTACAATAGGGATGGGAGACTGGGGATGAGTGAAATAGGTAAAGGGGATAAAGACATACAAACTACAGATTGTAAATAAGTTAGACATAGGAATGGAATCACAACATAGAGAATATAAACAATAATATTGTAATATCTTGGTATGATAATGGGACGATTATACTTATTGCAGCAAGCGTCTTGTGATGTATATAATCACTGAGTCACTGTACTATGCCTTTGAAACCAACATAATATTGTATGTCAACTGTATTCCAATTAAAAAAAAGAGGGAAGAAATCCTTGGTGTACAGCTTGATGAATTTTGGCATATGCATATACACTCATGTAACCATCAACCAGATCAAACAATAAAACAATCTAATTTTTTTCTGTTTCACCTATTTCACCCATCCCCACCTCTAGGCAACCACCAGTCTGTTCTCTGTGTCTATGAGTTTATTTCAGTTTTGTTTGTTTTTGATTCCACATATAAATGAAATCATAAGGCATTTGTATTTCTCAGTCTGCCTTATTTCATTTGGCATAATGCCTTCAAGGTCCATCCATGTTGTTGCATATGGCAGAATTTCATTCATTTTTGTGGCTGAGTAATACTCCATGTATAATAGTAACCACATTTTTTCAATCCATGCATCTGTTGACAGGCATTTAGGTTGTTTACGTATTTTGGCTATTTTGTACAATGAATACTGTGATAAACATAAGAATGCATATATCTTCAGATTAGCAATTTTTGTTTTCTTTGGGCAAATTCCCTTAAGTGGAATTTCTGGATAATATGGTATTTCTATTTTTAGTGTTTTGAGGAGCTTCTATACTGCTTTCCATGATGGCTGCATCAATTTGCCATCGCACCAAGAGCGTACATCAGCATCTCCTTCCTTTATCAGTGAAGACAGTCTTCTGTCAGATTTCCTTAAGATGATGATATGATTTGAGCAGGGCTGTCTTTACCTTTCACTCTTTAATTACCCCTGAGAGGTCTGTCATACCTGCTATAGCTTAAGGACAGTAGTACCAAGCACCAGGAATATAATGGCATGCAAGATGTGAGTCATAATTCTGTAGTCACTGGGATCAGATTCTACCTGAGGGGAAGGCACGTGTCCATTCAAAGGACAACAAACAACACATATGGACAAGAACTATAAGGCACATGAAAAAATGAAAAGAAATTCATTTGTTAGAGTGGTTTAATTTGGGATGACGTTTCTCCCCTTAGTCACAGTTTCAGTAACCCATAATCATCTGTGGTCTGGATGCAGATGATCCAACTTCTGATATATGGTTACAAGCTCAATGGTAGCCTAAGGCTACATCACGAACGCTGAAGTCATTCACCTCACTCCATCTCATCACATAGACAGGGTATCATCTCACATCATCACAAGAAGAGGGTGAGGACTGTGTAGTAAGATGTTTTGAGAGAGAGAGAAAGACCACATTTATGTAACTTTTATTATAGTATATTGTTATGATTGTTCTATTTTATTATTCATTATTGCTGTTTTATCTCTTGCTGTGCCTAATTTACAAATTAAACTTAATCATAGATATGGAAAAAAACATAGTATATATGTTATATAGGAACAAAACATAGTATATATAGGATCTGATACTGTCTGCATTTTCATGCTAAAGATACTATTCACTGGGGGTCTTAGAACATAACCTCCCTGGATAAAGGGAGACTATATATTGTATAGCAAAAGAGTGGTATGGACAGATAACAATATTTCAGTTTAAAGGGGAGAGGTGTTTCCGAAGGCTTGAAGGTATCTGAGGCCAGGCCTCTTGGGGACAGCTGGGGACTGGCTCAGTAGCAGGGAGAGGCAAGTTCCCCTAAGCAGAAGGAAACCTCTGAGAGCCTTCCTTTTCTCTCTACTTTACACTCTTGTCTTTCAAAGGCTTTCACAATCCACTCGTGCTGTGTCAGTCTGAACTTACTTCCCAGGCCAAGCCTCTTATCTGAGGACCCCGTGTTTATTTCTGCCTCAATATCTTTGGCCAAGCCTATCCACCGACTGCGAGTCCTCTTTTTTCTTACCTGATATAAATGCAAATTTCTCTCTCCTGCCCCAGCTCAAGTCCATTCCACCAATAAGTTTCCCTGGCTTTTTGAGTTCATGCCCATCTCTCTTTACCTGAAGTCTTAGAGTCGGAATCTAAACACACAGTTTAGAATATAACAGCATACTATAGTTATGGTTTACTATCCTACCTATTTCATCAGTTTTAAGATGCTCCACTATTTTTTTGTACTATCAAGAAAAACCACTTCAAATTAAACTATGCCAGGCCATCAATTGCAGAATGCACCTATATTTCAGAAATGTGAAAAAAAAGCTATTTTAGGATTGATAAAATGCAATAATGCCTCATATGTTACATTAATAGAGTTGTCTCCCTAGTTTGATTTTAAACTCCATGAATTGCTTCAAAGCAATCCTGTGATTTTGAGGGGCTATAGGTGGTTAGTGTAGGTCAAACAACATGGGCTATGAGTTGACAAATCTTAAGGTGGATGATGGGTACATAGAGGCTCATTATGTGACTAGATAGCTAGGTAGAAAAAGGGTTAATGGGGAATTTAGAGCAAGAGTTAACATTTCTCTGCTGAATTGTTTTGTAGAATAAGATGTTCAAGGAAGAGCAGATCTCAGGCAGGTAGTTTGTAAATGTTACCTGCAGGAGCTCCCCTGACAGCTTCTGGGGGTCCCCTCCCTGTCACCAAGGACTGATAGTTCTGGCCAATCGCTACCCATCTCCTGAACACCAGTCAGAATTGTGCTGAGTTTTCACCTCATTTGCACAATTTATGTACTAACTTGAATTGTACTGAGTGTTCTATGCCTATCAGAGAGCTGCCCTGTGCTTAGCAGTGTCAGGAGACACTGCTTTGGGAGCTATCCCCAGTGCTCTCCTTTCTTGCTGCAAGTAATAAACTTTGCTTTCTTACAATCTGGCTCAGGTGAGCCTGAGGAGCTGCCGACACAAAGAGTGGACCTTCACAGGAAGCTGCATGGACACCCACAAAGAGCTGCTGACACCTGCAGAGAGCTGCTAACACTCACCAAGAGTTGATGCTCCTTGAGAGCTGACACTCAGCAAGAGGTGAACTGAGAGTGAGAAATGAACCCCTTCTGCTCTGTTATGATTATACTTGTCTCTCCTTTTGTATATGTTCAAATTTTTCCATGAAAAAAACGTTTTTTTAAAGAAAGAACAACCTGGATGAACTTCGAGAACTTTGTGCTAAATGAAATAAGCCAGTCACAAAAATACAAATCCTGCATGATTCCACAAGGTGTCTGGAATAGTCAGATTCATAGAAACAAAGCAGAATGGTGGTTGCCAGGGGCTGGGAGGAGGAAGAAATCGGGAGTCATTCTTTGATGGGTGCAGTTCCAGTTCTGCAAGATGAAAATGTTCTGGAAATAGATGGTAGTGAAGGTAGCACCAAAATGTGGATTACATTTAACATTACTGGTAAATTTTATGTTAGGTGTGTTTTTTTACCATGATAATAATAAAAAATACCTGAATACAGAGATTCTTAAAAATTCTTTTTCCTTTTTCATACTGTCACAGTTCTGGGCACATAATAGGAGCTCAATAAATATGAGATGATCCTATTCTACTCTAAAGTGTTTTTGCTGATGTCCTATAAATACCTTCTATAATACTCAGTGCCCTATGGATACAAATAAAAATTAGACAGAGTGTTAATTCTGTCCTGTCGGCAGGAAAATTGGTATTTTCATGGAGCTCAGTAGAACCTACACTCCACTAGGGTGTATGGGAATGAGAGTGGGCGCTTGGTGTTTGCAGATGCGTATGTAAGGAGGGCGACAGGAGAGGTCTGTGTGGGGGAAGTAATCTGTGTGTGTGTGTGTGTGTGTGTGTGTGTGTGTGTGTGTGTGTGTGTGTGTACAGAGCTGCCCCTCCAAGGTGTAGGTTACACTGGGTGGAAGTCTCCAAAGCTAGAACTGAGAAGCCCTGCTCTGAGGAAAGGAAATACTTAGACCAAATCTGAGTTGGAAATAATGAACACTTTGTAACTCATCAGCTAAGATAATCTTCAAACGCTGTAAAATCCCATGGGTGCCATCTGCCCCCCACCACGACCACCATTTCCCTGGTCACAGGCAAGCATCAGGAAACCCTGGCAGACCCCTGAGAGCCCCAGCCACACTGACTCTGCCGTAGTTGCAATTATATAACAATCTTTAACTGATTTATTTTCAGAAAACTAAAGCCAGGCAGCTAAAAGTCAAGGTAATCGATACAACTAGGAAATCATCTCTATATGCAAACTCTCTGTGCTCAGACGAGGCACTGGCTGATGAGTAGGGACTCAAAAGAGTCAGACCGTCTCCTCCTGCCTAGGTCAAGAACTGAACCTTAAAGGGGAACCTGTGCCTTCATTAATGAGTAGAAATCTGATTTCTAATTACCACAGTCCATCTAAGAATCAAAATCCCTTAGGGCATTTAGATTTTCTTTTTTTCCTAGAAAACTACTCATACACTGCTTTATAAAATGTGGGGGGAAATGCAGAAAAGGAGAGGTGTTTCGAACCCTGGCTGGTGGTTCCAGTTCATTACAGCTGCAGAAACACTGACAAATCTTCTCTTCCTGGAAGCCAGCTTCATTTCAATTAAACAAGCTGAAAACTTCTTCTTCTTTAAGAGGTACCCTTACCATTTCAATCTGGAAGATAGGAGAGGCCTCGTACAGGTGGTGAGTGGTGGAAGAGAGGGGTTCCGAGGAGGCAGAGGGGAGGAAAGCTGTTACCTCTTTTAATAGCTTGTGCTTTAGGTGGTAAACATTGACAAATGTAATGGAGTTGCAGCACTGGAAGATTTTCACCCCAGGAATGTTTGTAACCTGCAAGACAAAGGTGAAGTCAAGGGAAATTTGTAAGCTTTTTTACAGAGTAAGAAAAAGTCTTTAGAACATTCTGGGGAGTCTAAATTCTTCTCTATAAGAGGCAAGGATGGAAACAAATTCCTTCCTCCCATTTTTCACCCCATGCTTTTCCTTTCTTCTTCCCCCTTCATTTTTTCACTCTTCTCTTTTCCTTGACCTTTCCCTACTAAAGTACATTTTAAAATTACCCTTAGGTGGCTGCAGTACTCTAGGGATTTCCCTTTTAATTTGCCTGCCTTTACCATCATGCATCAATTCTCCCTTCTTGGTAAATGTGCATCTGTAGTGCAGCAAACATCAGCAAAGGGATTTTGTAGAAAAATTAAACAGGAGGTCTGGTCCACCCCATCCTTTGGGAAAAGGAGTGGGTTGATTTGGATTCTTACCTCCTGGTAGTCACTGATGCTTCTGTAAATGTTGGTGTTAGGGATCTGACCCAGGAGGAGAATCTTAGTTCTGAAAGGAAATGCATTTGCCTTCAGGCCATTACCTGCCGTACCTTGCCTGGGCCATCCTCCTACCACCTGAGACAAAGTACCTGTGTGACTGAAGAGTGATGACGAAGAAGGCAAAAGCTACTGAAATGAGCAGTCCAACGTCCAGCCCCAGGAAAATGGCAGATATGAATGTCACCATCCAAATAATCTTATGGAAAAGCAGAAGAGAAAAGGAAGGCCGTGATAAGAAGCAGAATTGAGAGAATCACCAGTCCTATCTCTTAATTTACCTTTACCCTCTTCCTCCCAACACCGGGGATTTAGAGAACCAATTCCTCAGCCATGTGGACTGATGCCTTCACAAATGATTTGGTCCCAAGATTGCCCAGCAAATTCTTTAATGCATCCTTGGTCACTTCCTTCAATTCTCTCTCGAAACTTCAGTTTCCTTGCATGTAAAATAGGCATAATATCTACTTTATAGGCTTTTTGAAATTAGAATTACCATTGGTAAGGCCACCCAGAACAGTCACTGAATGCTAGTTGCTATTTTAAGATCTATAACAGTTATTGCAAATCTTTAACAGCTTTTTCAAGCCCTTACCCCACCACCTTCTACATCATTTCAGCAAGTGATTAGAATGTCATCTTCACAGAGAAGAC